TGGTCCTTCATTTTCCCGAGATTGTGTCGAGCTCGCGGAGTCCCTTTCCTTCTTCTTGTCCGAAGATGAAGACTTGCGACTGATCTTGCTGAATGCACGGGATGCGACAGATGGCTTTCGTTCAGGTTTTTCACGGCCGCGGGCCGACTGCTGACTGCTTTGGCTATCCACAGAAGCACGATTCTTTGCGCTAGCTTTACTGTCGCTGCGTTTGGGATAATTTATACCTGAGCTGTTTCTGCTCTCATTGCTGGAGGCGTTCGATCTTCGCTGTACTTGCGAGAATGACACTCGACTGTCGTTGCTTGACGCAGCCGATGATCTCTGCGCTGTCGCAAAGGGGTCTTGGGGGTCGTTGTCAGAGGCAAACGGGTTCTCCAGTGTGTCTTCAGGCGCGGCCCTACGTTTGTAGTCGGCAGGCCTCGAGGTGTAGTTTCCTTCGCCATCGTTTAATGAAATGTGATCGGGAGAGTACATTGACGAAACAGATTTCTTGGTGGAGCCGTACGACCGTCTTGCTGCGTTGTCAGAGAAAGGGTCGACATGAGCCCCCTCTGCAATTGACGGCATCGTCGCGTTGAAGTCTGGCCTTGCCTGATCGTTCATACTCATGCTCCTAGAACTTCCTTTAATGTTTCGAGCGGTCTTTTCGTCCGTGTTGGGGTTATCGATACCATCAGAAGCGTCATTCGCGAAGGTATATGCTCGCTTGGGAGTTCGTGTAAGCAACGTTTCACGACTCTTGCGCTCACGCTTCGACTTGGAAGAAGAGTCGGATCTCCGGCGAGTGCGCGGTCTTTGAGAGTCAGAGGGCCTCTTATTGTCTAGATCAATATCTTCGTCATCGGAAACTTGTGCCAACGAGCGGGCGTTTTCCTCATCTTCCTGTCGCTGCTTCTCTTCAGCTAGTCTCTGTTGTTCAGCTGCGCGCTGCTTTTGTTCGTCTACCAGCCTTTGCTCCTCTGCTAGACGATCAGCTTCCTCTTGCTTCTGCCTTTCCACCATTTGCTTCTTCCTTTCCGCCATCTGGCGGCGCGCCTCTGCAGCTCGATCTAGCGGTTCAGTCGGCTTGATCGCTCCTGTGCCAATGCTTTGTTTGCGTTTGACGTATGACTGGGGGCGTTCAATATTCGCGTTGTTGGCCTCGACAATCGTAGCCATGCTGTCAGACGACTCGCGTTTGTTTGCGCGTGGTGTGAAAGGCAGCGCGGGGCGATTGGATTTTGCCCATTCTCTGGTGCTACTATCAATGTCGACGTCTGTCATGGTGTCGCGTTCAAACTCTGAAGGATCTCGGAGTACTTCGGGTATTGGTGCATTCGGTTTCTTTGGTGACTTCTTCTGCGCCTTACGCCGTGACGGTCCAGGCTCGCCCTTCTCGATCTTGTCCCATATTTCCGACGCTGCTGTTTGATCTGAGTCATATGCGGTACTCGCAGGCTCGACCTTCGGCCTTTTGGTCACCGTGCGCACAGGCTTTGGAGAGAGTAGCTCAGGTTGCTGTACCTCAGTGGATAGGAAGACTCGCCCAGGAGGTCTGACAAGCCCTTCCCCTCCTGAGTACTCAATCTCCGGAGTATGCGGCAGTGGTTTCGCAGTGGGTGCGACGTGTGTGGCAACTACGCCCTCGGAGCCGTACCACTGACCGCTATGATATTGTTTACGCGGACTTTCGAGATCACGTAATTCGATAGGCCGCTGTTGCGAGAGACCGGCGATTTCGATATGGCGGCTGCGCTCCACATCGTGGACTGCATAGCGCACGCGCCTGTATGCCCTGTAAATGTAGAATGTACCGAGCGATGCCACCACGATCACAAAACTGACGATGATTGCCGGGAGTATGGCTAATGCCATGGTCTTCGAGAGAAGTAATCGGGGGACTTAGATAGTCGAAGTAAGTGCTTGATGGTATGTATGGGTGATAATTCGTCGCTGCACTTTTGCTAGATTGCGTACGAAGAGGTCTTTACAAATCTGTTGCAGAAAAGGTGTAGACGTTGCTCTTCATAAACTACCTGTGATTGGTGTCTGGAATTCCATTGCTGCAACAGCCACGACCATGTATTCTGTGAAATGTGCGGACACTTCAAGTGTGCGCTGCGAAGGGTATTTCGCCTTGTTCACATATCTCGACCACGTCCTGGATATTGCTCCTAATTGACTGTATGTTATCATGCCTCAAATCGGTCACACAATTGCGGAGATGTCAGGAGTTGTAAGAGTATGTGTATTTGTTTGTATTGTTTTCATACATTAACACGCATACAGAGCTGCGTTACGAGCATCGCCTCTACACGAGTAAGGTCTAAATGCTCCTCCCATGAACGAACTTCTAGTTGCAAGTGCCGGATCCGCTCTGGCATCCAGAACCACAGTGGCCTGAAGTAGATCCGCACCATCCATACTGCGAGCAGCAGGTACCGAATGTTGAACCAGCGCAAGTCGCACCGCCCTGAGTTCCGCAAGTGCCATCAGTAGAGACCTTCTTGGTCGGAGCAGGGGTGGTTGAACCGCCACCGCTGCCACCAGTGCCAGTGCAGGTTCCGAAGGCAGAGTTGCAGCCGGCGCTGCAGTGATCAGTGGATGATCCGCACCAGCCGTATTGAGAGCAGCAGTTGCCAAAGGTAGATCCAGCACACGTTCCCTTGCCTGAGCCGCAAGATCCGTCAGTGGAAACAGCAGTACCACTGCCGCCGCCGCCGCCGGTGGCAGGAGGGGTAGTAGAGCCGCCGGAAGTGGCAGTACGGTACCAGTTCGCCTCGGGCTCACCCATGCACTCGCCCATAGTGACACCGCGGTAGCCCTTTGACTTGAGGTACTCGAGCATGTAACCAGTAAGGTTGAGAGCAGTCTGCTCATGGATGTCGTGGGCGATAGCGAGGCGGTGACCTGAGGCGGGACCACCAACGGTGGTATCAATCTTGTTCTTGAAGTTGTTCTTGGCAACCTGGATGTTGGATAGCTGGTTGTAGTCATCCGTGTCCAAGTCGAAGTAGCTGACTACGTATCCCAAGTTCTTCATCACTGCCTGGCAAGCGTCGTTGCAAGACGAGTAAGGAGGACGCATGTATGTGGGGTACTTTCCGATAATATTGCGAATGGCCATTTCGTTCTTGACCATCTGGTCGTAGCGCTGCGCATCGGTGATTTGGCTAAGATCCTGGTGAGACCATGTGTGGGATGCGACTTGGTGACCTTCGGCAACCATACGCTTGATCACGTTGGACCACTGCGCTGTGCTGTCGATTGCGCCTTTTCCGAGGTTAATTCCCGTGACGAAGAATGTGGCCTTGAAGCCATATGTGGCGAACTGGTCGAGGACGCGGTCGGTGTAGATGTATGGGCTGGATGCTGATTAGTCGTGCTATCAATGCGTGGGGTTGTGAATGAGCCTACCCGTCATCGTAGGTAATGGCGACAGTGCCAGCCTTCTTGCAGGCGTAGACACCACCACCTCCGTATGCGACGCTGCCCCTCTGAGGACGGGGGTCGTTGCGTGTGCTGGCTCCACCAGGTGTCTTGTTGGCGTCGCAAGCCGGGCCAAAGTCAATCAAGCAGTCAGGAGCTTGGCAGTGATCTTTGGTCGTTCCGCAGTATCCCTAGAGCGAGTCAGCTATTGTAACAGTTCAAGATCTAAGATCAACATACGGCACCTGAGCAGCAGTAGCCCGCAGCGCACTTGGCGTTGGCGAAGCTGGGTCCGCAACGGCCGTTCTGACCACCTTGGCGGGTTTCCAACATGCCATCCCTTGGCTGAGCGGGGTGTCGAAGCACGCGAGCAGCGACAGGAGGTTTAAAGTCGGCTTGCAAGTCTCTCGGTAGGCCGAACATCTTGGGTGCCCCTGGGACTCCACCATGAGCAGCCACAAGAGGCGCCACAACACCGACGGTAAGGAACTCGGAGAAGCGCATCTTTCCCAAAAATTAGATAATTAACAATAAGACCAAAGTCAAAGTCTTCAAAGCGAGTGACAGCTGCCAAAGGAAAAGATTGGCAAAGTGAGAGACTGATAAAGGCCGGTGTAGGGACGGGGCGCAATAAAATAAAACAACAGCAGCAGCAATATACTTATAAACGCCAACCCCATGCACACATCTCGACGCATCGATAGAAAAAGACCGGAGAGCATGACGTTTCTGGTAACTAATGAGCGTGCGAGCTAGGTATCGCAGATCAAACATCGCGCATTATAGCCAAGAGGCGCTCGCGCCGGCACACCTCAGAACGAATACGAAGGAGACGGCGGGCGTGGCACTCGGGATGTTGGGGGAGATTCCCACATGGGCCGCGCCCAGAGCATGCCTACCGTACTTTGGCGTACGATTGGGATAACAGTGCTGCAGGCAAACCCCAACAACGCATCGCTACCACTGTTAGCACTGCCGGACCATCGAATTGCCGCCGCTGTCATGCTGTCATTCATGTAGGAGCCGGGTGTAGGAGGGCTCCCAGCGCGATAAGAACGGCGATAAAGAAGCAATTCCCAGCTGTGCGACGGCGCACCTTGGCTTCAACAAGCTGACTGTTCGGGCGAGGGAGTTAGGGGGGAAAGTCGGGTACAGAAGTTTGCCAAGAGTCGGGAGGATGCAGCGGCGGAACCAAGACTTGCCCAGGCGCACCTAGCGACGCTGGGCTGTTCTAAAAACAGAGCTGCATGCATGGCGTCGACTCGCCAGTGCCTTCTGAATGCGGCAATACTTAGTTGCTATTGATTTTGACGCTGAAGTTTTTCGCATCTTTGCGCTTTTGAGTTTCGGAAATTTTGCGCATGTGGGAGGAATCTGGGGAAGAGATGATGTAATGTGGTAGTCGGATCGGGGCTCCGCCACGCTATCGGATGAGGTAAGCGCACCGGCACAGGCGGATCGTGAGATCTGTCTCACTGGTCTAGCCCTAGTGTAGGCTGACAGAATTCATGCCCTCTGACCGTATCTTCAAGATTAGCTCGAGTGATTTTGCACGTCTGCCTCAGTGTCAATACCCTACTCTCGTATTGCTACTTGGCTTTCCCCGCTCTGCCTCTTCCCCGTCCACTCCCTCTGCCTTTGCCACTCCCGCGTCCTCGTGTCGCAGCCGTCTTCTTCCTTGGCGAGTTCCGCTCAGTCATATCCGTCATATCCGTCTCACCATCGCTTCCTTCGGCAAAGAAGTGGCTCTTGACTTGTGCGTCACTTTTCCTGGCTGCCTTACGCCTCGGCGCTGAACGTGTAGATGGCGGTGGTGTTGGTGGGTCGGAAGGAGCGCCAGAGGGCGTGTCATTGTCAGACCCTGATTCTATGACCGTAGACTTACGTTTTCGCGTGGACGCTGTCATGAGTTTGGCTCCGCGACCACGTGGACGACCACGACCACGAGTTGAAGATGTGGCGTTCGACTTGCGACGGGTAGATTTTGGTTGAGGCATATCCTCGTCGTCTTCTTCGTCGTTGCTTTCGTCTTCTGGAGGTTCAGGCGCGTCCATATCCTCGTCCGCATCATCATCAGGATGCTCGCTGGATTCGCTGGGCGGCTGCTGAAGCGCCTGGGTGAGGGAGATCGGTGTGCGATATGTACTTTCCGCCATGGGCGCGCGCGACACATCTTTCTTTTCGCCGTGGTCAATGGTTAGATCCCCATGCTCAGGATCGTCTTGACTTGCTGGTAGAAAACCACCAGCCATGTCATCATCATGGTGTATACTCTGGTACGTCCGTTCAGGTACGAAGCCACCGCCAGAATCAGCGCCATCGCCGCGCATGAAGCCGCCCTCGAAATCGGTGTGGTTCTGAAACACTTCCCATTGCGACATCTTCTCCCCACCATCTTCTTCGACCGAAATCTCCTTCTCCTTGACTGGCAATTCAACATCCTCCCCGTACTCTTCTCGCATTCTTTCCACGATTCTCAGTCCACTCGCAAATTTTCTCCAAAGCCCCAATAGGAACTTTTCCCTCTTTTCTCTCTCTTTTCGCTGTTTTTCCGCCTCTTCAACTTCCCAAGCATCAATGAGCATATCCTCGTGTTCCTGTGCAATTACAACACCGGTTATGACAGGCACAGCGCGTTGCTTTCCAAACTCGAACCCGGTACACGCTTCCGCATGGTCTATGTTGAGTTTACGACATATGCGCGCCGTACCCCTGAGTGGAACATGAACAGCGCCTTTCGGCACCATCGTGGGCACATAAACGTCAATGTTTCCGTATGAGTTACGCGGGATTTTGCCGTCAACAATAGGATCAGGAATGATCCAGTCCGTCTGCGCTTTAGAGAAGAGACCTTGTTTCACTTTCTCGCCTTCAAGACGTTCCTGCTCTTCCATCTCGCGTTTACGTGTCACCGTAACAGCCCGCCTAGGTACGAGCTTGAGGGGCTGTTCACCTTCCCGTACCTCTCGGCCTTCTTTGTGCCAGGATTCTTGGGTCTTGCAGTTTACAACGTCCTTCCGCAGATATACCGGCTCGGTTTTCTCGTTGCCGCTTGTGCCGAAGGTGAAATGTCGAACGATCTTGGCGCCGGGTATGAGTGCCTCCTCGCGACGCAGGTGGCGCTCAAGCACGTATTCAGTGGAGTTCTTATAGCCCTGTAGCGTCTCCTTTCCGCCTTCGTGCATTTCCTTCTTCTTTTCTGGTTGTACCAAGACAAGATCACCTTCATCTTCAACTTCATCCCATGGCTGACGCTTGTCGTGAGGTCGTGCATAGGGGCGCATTTGCGACTTCACCCAGTCCCACTCTTCCCACCGTTTGACTTTGCCGCGTTTGTTGTGTATGGGTATCTTCTCAACAGGCATGCGAACACCCCTTGTCCGACCAGGCCACTTGGGTACATATCTTACAGTGACATCCTTTGCTGTGCCGTCAGAAGAGAAGGCGATGAAGTAGGCTGATACCTGCCTCGCCCTGTCGGCCGTTCCACCGCGAGCGTAGAACTCGGAGAATTTGTCTGAAGACGCCGCACTCGCGATTATCGCCTTGGGAAGCGGCGAAACTGCTATAGGTGTATGGGTGAGATGAGAGATGGCCTCTGTCCAGTAGGTCGGAAATGGCAGTTCATCGCGGGGGTTGCGGGGCTTTCGCGCTTTCTTAGTAGGCCGCTCATCTTCTGATCCCGAAGAAATAGATATGACACTGCTCAGGTCGCTGCTATCGTCCGGGTCAACTTCGGCCGTTTTGCCACCCTTGTTTGTACCGCCGAGAGGTTGCGCTCTACCGTTCGTGGCTGCTGATTTCGAAGGAGTGTTGCTGTCGGCAAGCTTCGCATCCTTCAATTTCTCCAGATTCTTAGGCGTTCCTTCTTCGCCCTGATTCCAGCCATAACCAATTGGCTGTAGACTGACTACCATGCGGGCCTCGATGCCGAGCCCTCGTACTAAAGCGGTGAACAATTGCTCTCCCAAGTCCCTGCTCCCCTCGCATTTACGAGCTCTGTCGCGGAATGCTTCTAAACTCTCCACTCGCTCGCCAAAAGTATCGGGATGATCAGGGTCCTCTCTCCAGGTATTGATCTCGGCTTCTAGCGTCGATGGCGAGAGGTAGCCGCGTTTGCGTAGGCTCGGAGTTGTTACTTGGAACTTGGACTTCCAATACGCAGAGAGATACTTTAGGAGGCGAAGTAGAGGATCCCCAGCTGACATGTTTGGGACTTTCGGCTCGAGTGGTTCAGATGTCGCGTTCCAATCGCGACCTTTCTTGGCGCCTTTGACATCGCCCTTGCCCTTACCCTTGCCTACGGGAGCTTTCTTCTTGTCTTCGCGAGCAGACGATCGCTTCTGCGGACTTTCGTACACTTTGACGCCGTTCTTTCCGCTGCTCTTCCACGTACCCTTCTTGTCTTTCGTTACCGTCTTGGGTGGACTCGGCGCCCTCTGCACAACGACAAGATTAGGGCCGTCTGTGATTCCGGCGTTATCCCAGTACCTCTCCAGTTCGCGCCAGCAGCCGGCCGACATGCCTTCCACTAGTATCTTCTGCACTTCCTTGTCTTGTATCCAAGCGTTCCTGATAAGATTGTGGTACATCAGGCACTGCACGTGCATACAATGTGTGACATTTCGGATTTGCCGCTGGATCTTGGATGCGCCCTTTTGTCCTTCCGATTTTGAGTCGAAGGCGGTCTTCGGCGCGGCGGACAGGGTGAGGGCGATGTCGCCAGTGATGACGGGCGCAGGACCGTGGTCTGTTTTATTGTTATTCTGCGCACCGAGCGCGTCTTCCCAATCGTCGGCTTCGCTCTCGTCGCTATCACCACCAGCTGTCGCCCTTCCCTTGCCTTTGCCTTTGTTTGCGCCGTTCAGCGGAACATCTTCGAAATCATCTTCGCTGCTCTCCGGTTCTGACAACTCACTGTCGTCATCTTCTTGTTCCAACAGGGCTTTGGTCTGGGCCAGCGTGAGCTTGGCCTTTGGCGGTGCGTCGAGGGTTTCAAAGACAGACTCTTTGCCTTTGCGCGTGGGTGCAGTAGCTTTGCGAGCGCGCGCACGCTTCGGTGGCGGTTCTGTTTGCGGTGAGGCGGATCGCGAGCGCTTTCGGGAGAGGATGGGCGGCATTCTGATGCCTAGTTGTCGTTAACGCGATCGTGACATAGGGACAGGCGTGGTGCGACTTGTTTGTAAGGGTTGAGGCTAGATGGCTGGAATGATGACGCACTTTCCCCTGTTGGAATTCCGATCTGGCGGGACGATCTCGTGCAAGGACCCACAGTCGCGTGGCGCCTTTTCGCGCGGTCACGAGCGTCTCACGTCACATCAGGCACATTGTCCAAAGTCCCTGCATTGACATTCTACTACTCCAGCCCCGAGCCAATTTATCCCGTGCATCATAATTGCTTATTTGCTAGCCCGAATCAGGACCGGTCTAGCCTACGAGTCTCGTGGAAGCCAATAACTCTTCTCAGACCTTCTTCCAAAGTATCTTTATCCATTGAGAAAAGAAAGCGGAAATTGCCTGGCTTTTCATCATGATATGCGTGGCCGGCCGACATCTCTACGCCGTGATCATACAGCGCCTGTCTCAGTTCATCTTCACCCTGCCACGTCGCGCTCCGTAAACACGCCGAGAGATCGATCCAGAGGAAAAACCCAGCGTTACTAGGTCACATGGTCCTGTCAGTGACTCCTGCCATGCAACAGCTCGAAAACGCTGGGGTGTACTTACGCTTGCTTGTTGTAGCGAATTCCAGCTTTGTCAAGTCCCTTGGTGACAAGCTCTTGGTGTTCACCCAGCACCCTTGCACTCTCGGCTAGAAATTGGTCGTGCCATTCGTCGTCCTCAAGCATAGTGGTGGCTATAGCGTCTGTGACTGGCGATGCGCCGTGGAAACGTCTGCGCCAAGCAGAAAAATTAGCGTAAGTAGCTGTATCTGGGTGTTCAAGCAGACGTACGCCAGAGACTGCACAGCTTGACTCAATTCTTCGTTTCGGGTGACTAGACACCCTAGTCTCAGACCAGCAGCGGCGAAGTCCTATCAACGCATCAGTTACAACAACCATTTCTCGCACGAAAGTGGTCTGACCTTTGACATTCCGTACATCACATGGACAAGCTTATCATCGATGATGCCGGTCATGTCAACAGAGAGTACTGATGTAAAGCCAGGATGATAATCATCCGTTCGATACACTGACTGAGCATAGATTTCATCGCTGATGAGATGAATCTTATGCTTTGCACAGAATCGTAATATGGCCTCGAGAGCTTTGTGAGTATAGCACTGCCCTGGAAAGATGAGTCAGTTCGACGGCTCTTTACGGAGGTGCATGGTACGCGCCAAGAGGATTGTGCGGGTTGGAAATGACAAGTGCCTTCACGTCAATTCCGTTTCGGCCCGCTTCTTCAAGGGCGCGCTCGTAACATTCGACCGCTCCGGTAATGAACTGATCCACGCCATGGAATGGGGTGTAAACCAACTTGCAGCTGTTCCAAGTTCAGTGGCTGCTGAACGCAGTTATTGACACGTCGAGACTCACTTCGACATGCTTCGCATATCTGGGTTGAAAGAGCCATATATCGGCATGCCAAGGAGCAAACCTTCATTCTCTCCATCCGTCAGACACAGTGACAAGATGTCATTCAATGCCGTCACACCGCTGACAAAGGATACTTCATCCATCGCCACAGCTGATGCGGCGGGCAAGAAGCGCTTATTGATGAAAGTAGCCATTGCTTGCCGTAAGCGATTAGAGCCGAATGGGCCATCATGATAGGTCAAGGTGTCAAGTTCAAATGAAGGGACGCACTACACAATATGTTAACTGAGTCTCTCTTGTTCAAGTGCAAAGACCAACCTTGGTCTTCACGTAGTCGAGCACTTTTCCGCGCATGAGAAACTATTCGGTACTTTAGCTCTGATACTCAAAGTATGACAACCATGATGTTCGACTCTTGCTTACGTTTTCTGCATTTCTAAAGGACACTAAACCTGCTGGATGCTTGGTTTTGTCGTAGGGGAGGCCACGATCTTTCGTGTAGCTTGCAGCCAGATCTAAAGCCGCATAATTGCGGCCACGTATAGAAAGCATGTTCTTGTAAGGGTGAGTCTCAGGTTTCTAGGCACCTGATTGCGAGAGGTGTCGGTTCATGAAGCAATGGCGCATCTGAAGCTCTGATTCGCAATGCGGGGCAGCTGTTGCATGCGTGGCAGCTTTACTTGTGAGCTACTCAACAAGGTACCTACCAAAGTGGTCAAGTGCATGATAGGCTGTGAGTCATATAAAAGGCGCAGCAGGCGGGCATGGTAGCACCGAGTTACAATAGGATGCTCTTTGGACGAGCCTTGCTTGCGGATATTGTCTCGACTGCTGCCTGGGAGGCCGCCCGCCTTGAACAGGGTGGAACGCCTCAACGAACGATTGGACATGAGATGTGCGCGAAGAATGCAGTATCCGCTGCCAGTTTCCAAAAGGGATAAACGCCAGATGAGACTCATCAACCTGCGATATGAATAGTACCAACACCGGCTGCAGTGGTTGCCTTGTTGCGTTGACGACGTGTGGCGTGTTGTGCTGAGGGCTGACCTGGAGGTGTCGCGCCGTTATATATCGAGTGCGCATCCCCAACCTCAGGGTATCCATCTGAACCTTGTTGAGATGTTATCACATTTTGTGATGATGTCCAACGTCTTCCATATTTCCGAGGGCGCACTTGGTTGCCGCCTGCCTCTACGAGAGCCACTAAGCGACAAAACAAACAAGATGATACCAGCACTTGCCGAGCTAGGAGAAACGAAACGATGCGCGAAAGGAGGTGGAAGATGCGGGTGAACAAACACTGGGCAAGAGCTGTGAGTTTCACGCGTTCCCGCGCGATGACGCACGTGCACGTGACGGAACTCGACGGAAGGTCTGCGGTAAACCTCAGCTCGAGGTGTCTGTTGCTATTGATTCACAACGCTAAATTCTGGATAAACCGACAGATAGTCACATATCTTGCGGTCGACAACGTTTCGATAATTTGCACAGTACCAAAGTCACGAGTGCAGGGAGTTGAGCCGGGCACAACCCCTCACCAAGTCTCAAAATGGTATGGCGCAGGTACCCCGTCGGATTGATCGCTGCACGGCGCCGTCGCTCGTCCCTTCGTCACAACCACATTTGCACGTCGCATCGCATTAAGAGTGCACTTTCATCGCTGCTAACCCCACAACCTGACCAAATCGCCGCGAAAGACGCAGCGAAACCGCCAGAATGCTGCTCGACACCTACATCATCAACATAGCCACACCTGCCCGTGACCTGTGGCTCCTCAGGCAGCCGGCCTCCCTCCCCAGTCCTCTGCCCTTAGCATGCATTTGCTGCGATTGACCTTACGCTCTCTTCTCTACTTTTTGCTCACCTGCGTTGCTACTCTTCACCATACTGTACCAGCCTTGTTACAGTCTGATCTTGCATACTGTTGACGCTCTCACACTTTAGTTCCGTCATTCTCGTCGGTCCCACATCTTCCTGTCCTTAGGCATCCAGATACACACCGGAGCATGTACCCGCTGCTGCTCCTCACAGTAATTATTACTGTCCTTTCCTGTCCGGTGGAAGCGTCGAACCCGTTTGCAGACCTCATCGTGTCTGACACTCCCATGGACGGAACCTATTCCGACATCGACGGCGTGCTGTGCCAGCTTTGCTGCCTGCCCTTGTACCAATGCTTTCACGGGCACATGGTAGGATTCTGAGTCCCTTCTCTATGGCGCATGCTAACAGCTTCATTCAGAACCCATATGGCGCAGCGAGCCCTTTCTACGTAGACCCCAGTGTCTTGCACATGCCGCCGCTCGGCTTCGATCGTACGCAACCAGACCTAGCACCGATATACGAATTTGTCAACGAGGGGCAGCCCTTGCTCAGAGAGCACGTCCAAGTCATGGATGCGAACGAGACCATGGTGCAGCCAGCCACTGTGCAAGCGCATGTTGAAGATACCTATAACCCTGGTGATCGCTTAGCGACACCACGCAATCGGAAGCGACAACCACCTCGCCCGGGTGGTTTCCATTGCGACAAGGACGGCTGCAGTAAGACTTTCAACCGTCAATGTGATTTGAAGTAAGTCCTACCACTGGATCAAGCGTACCGGATTGTCGGCTTACCGTTGTAGTCGCCATCAGAAGAAACATTCGACCGATAAGCCTCACGTGTGCTCGAAATGTCCCATGAGCTTCGACTATCCGAAAGATTTGCGGAGACATCTACCACAACATAATGACCCTTCTTTCGCAACGGACAAATACCTCTGCCCACATCCCGGCTGTGGTAACCTCGACGGCTTTTCTCGCAGGGACAACCTCCTGCGACACCAACGAAGGCAGCACCCTGCACGTTAGGTATTGCATCGCTACATGAGTCCTCATGATCATTCATTCTTCTTCCATATCTATTGTATCACCACAAAACTGGGTTTAAAGGGGTACTGGCGTTTGTATACATATTTCCTTGGCTGTTGGCAATACCCTTCCCCCTGATTTCATAGCAAGCGCTGCTCATGACTCCTGTGGCCACGCGCTTTACTTCATCGTCACTCAAACGTTACGTGTTTCTTTCTCTGTCTAACACAAAAATGGTGGTATATACAGATATCTTGATAGTATCTGTTACATGATCAATCTCTATCTCGCAGTGGGAAAGGAAGCTGGTACACTAGAGTCAACGTCGACACTGCAATAAACATCTGCTTCATATCCCAATCGCTTGGCACGTTTGCTTAAAATTTTGTGTCTCCGCGAATTGTTTAAGAGGTCGAAGTTTCTGAAGGTCAAGAAGATGATGATATGCTACTCTACCCCAAAAACTCCAAAATACATGGTCTACTGACCAAAGACCAGGCGTAAATCAATGAGATCTTGTCCAGAGTTTATGGGTCTAGATATCTCTCTGCAGCACTGCGCCACTAGATATTTTGTGCGCCCGATCTATCCGGGAACTCGATCTGCTTCAACAAATTTTGTGCCGCCGCTCGAACGCCGTCTTGGCTCACAAAGTGCATGTCCGGCAACACTTCCCACTTTGCGCCCCACACTAGGAAAGAAGGGAGCGGATATTCGATCTTGATCCACTCCACTTCCTCTCCTCCCGTTACCAAACATCCACGAACCCGCACTGGCGCGAGCTCGCCTTCGCCCGGCGACCACGAATGATGAATAGGAAACAGCGCATGGAGGTTGTATCCGCCCGTACCCGTCGGGTTGCCTGCGCGAACTAAATTCAGTGTACGCAGGAACCCTACTGCGTCGCGAAAGATACCAAGCTGCTCGTTCTCGGGCGAGAACATGGAGGGCGTGATGGGTGGACCGCGCTGGCAGAAAATTGCGGTGATGTAGTTACGCAGCGGTGAACCAGCGGGTGTGTTCTCGTACACCCACCTGACCGTGTCCAGACGACAAACGAAGTACTTTGGTTGCATCAGCGCCATACCCAATCTCAGCACCGTATTTTGAGTCCTCCAGATTCCGAGTTCGCCGGCCAATATCTAAGATGTGGGAGTAACAAGTCAGTGAAGGTCTCATATTCCGTTCGTGCATCAACATATCTTACCCACAGTTTCATCAGGTCCAACAATTTCGCGTCGGTTGTATAGTCAGGGGGTTGGCGCTCGTACAGCCATTTGAAGAGGGTCCGGAAGGTATCAGGTTCGGCGTTTGGGAGCAAGATGTCGCTTAGTATGATGCGGGGCAGGCCGTTGGGCATAGTGAATAAAGGGGAGACTTTTGAGAGGAGAGAGTGGTGTACGTCGAATCGCGTTGGATTGGCCTTAGGACCGACAACGAAGGTTATGGGTACGCCGACGCCTTGGTAGGTTGTATAGGGGGGCAGGGCCATATTCGAACAAACGAGATAGGGGTTACTTTTGGAAGGCTTGGAAGGCCCGTTGGACTTTTATCTTTTCGTAGTCGGATGTATCTGAATGGTCTGAGTGTTTGCTCATTGTTAACCGAGGCACCCTTTAAGAAAGAGGGAAGTGGGTTGATACAATTTGAGACAAGGCAACAACTTATCTAACATAGTGAAAGACTGTCTCGGAACGTGATTGTAA